TCGACAATATGCGTTTTTGCTAGCTGTAGCAGCGCTATAGCGCTGCACAGCAAAAACGCATAAAAATATACTCTCTTCCATGCTTAATTAGTAGTAACTGTGTTTGCATATCAATCTTTGTGCATGGCGGTTCATGCTAAGTTGAGTTTTTAGAAAATTTCGAAACGCACAGCCCCCTTTTTTCTGATAACAAAGCGTCGCATGGAACCATTCCAGCAAGCGACAGAATCCATCACGGGCTCATTAGGAGGCAAAATACGATGTCCAGACTGTTCATGTTGTTGTTCGTCAGTACCAGAAAACAAGTTGCCACCGGATACTTCCACCAAAACATAGTCTTCTGCTGTGTCTGCGTTTTTGCCTGCATTCGTAAGAGCCTGAAAGCACCGGCTCAATTTTTAATCATAAAATTTATAATATATTCCTTCAAAATTTGGCAGAATTTCGAAATTTGCTTTTAAAAAAAGTAAAATTTTACTGAAAAATCTCGTCAGTCGTTTTTGTTGAGAGAGCCAGTGAGCTGGTGCTCCGTTCAAGAAGCGAAATGAACGAAAATCATTAGCAAGATAACTACTGGATGATATAGCATTGATCAAAACAAATAGGAGAGTTGCCTGTTGCAGAGCTGGAGAACCAGACCATCAACAAGTAGCTGTTTCAGGTATTCCAGGTGCGCATTTTCAGATATCCTTCTGTTGCTTTCTTTTCGATGCTCAAATGAGCGATAGCTGCACCGACGCTACTGACGAATGCCTCTATCTTTATAAAGCGCTGAGAGATCTTTATTTAGGATCTTATTTAGGACCTTTACGCAAGGGGATCTTTTTCTTTACTCATTCATACGTACCGTCTCTATGACGTTTTTGACTGTACTGGATGACTCTGCATGTACAATGACCGGCGTATCGTCAGCATATAAACCCGTTATTTTCAATACGAAAATCTGACGTTTCAAAATTGGAACTGTCATTTTCTTTGCAACCTAAACAAAATTTAACTTTCCAAGATAACTTTATGCGAAGAGCAAAATAACCCTGTTGCTAACTAGATATTCCAAAAACTTCGTTTTTCCTGTCTCACGTGCAAAGTTACTTGCGCATGTTTATCATTTCCGTAATACCCAAAATGACTTGCTGAATGAAAAGAGATAATATTTGGGAAATGCTGTCTACTCGTTCAGAGAAATCAATTCCAACACAAAGAAAACTAGGGAATTGAAACTTTCGGAAAATAATTTCAGAACTCGCTTGCACTTATAAGCCTATTTTTTTTGTATATTACTAAAACACGGCTCGGCTCGGCTTGTCTCTTACACGAGCTGCAGAAAATTTTTTTTCCGGAAGGCGGGTAGGGTTGTCTCCCTCCCCCCGCGGATAGCGGTAGTTTGAATGTGGTGCAAGCGTAAGTTAAAAAAAGTAGAAGAGAAGGATTTTTATGGCTTTTCAGGTCACGCGTATGTGATGTGTAATTTATAGGGTAGGCGCATTTTACAGCCCCTTGAGGTCATCTATACACCTCCTACCTTGGCTACGCCCACATTCTTCCCGTGTATTAAGCCCAGTTTTTGGGCACAAAACTCAGTCTCTCCAGTCCACTCGGGGCTGAGTGGCGTGGGCGAGTTGTTCGCCTACTGCCCTCAGTCCTCACTACCAAGGGTGGAGGGGTGTGCGGCTTAGGGGGACTGAGTGGCGGGGGCGAGTTTGGTCGCCCACTACTCTCAGCCCTCACTACCAGGGGGAGGGGAAATAAGAAAATTTGATGATTGGGAAGAGAGAAGGGGGAGGAGAAGAAATTTCTGCACCCACTAAGCGCCGCTCATCCCTCCACGCACCCCCACAACTACGGCTGCCCCTCTACTATCCCGCCGCCCCACCAGCCAGGCCATACAGCCGCTGCGGCCTGAGTAACGTTGCCCTGCTTTTCCGGCAGGCTGCCAAACGATCCCAGTGAGCAACGCTACGAAACACCGTTGCCAGAGATGACAGAGGGCTTTCCGAGCACCAACGACCACCAGCCGAGCCGGGCCGAACCGAGCCGAGCCAAGCCGAGTTGTAGTTTTTGCCTCTTTTTTAACTCTCACCGTATGCGCGTGACCTGTGACCCCGGAATTTTTTTGCTTTTTAAATGCTGGACCGGATCGACTGAAGAATTGTGGTGATGAAATACAACATATACTGACTTGTTTGGCAGCTGAACAGCCGCAGCAGCTTGTTACAAAAAAGGATAGATGCACCGATCCAAGCATCGCTGTGCTTGTCAAAATATATATTTTATCGAAATTTTCGAAAAAAGCCAACCGAATCAGCACTACGTGCAGACGACTGTAGCTGCTGATCGTTACTACCGCTAACAGTAAAATCCTCGTCGTGTAAACTGATGTGCTCTTCTTGTTCGAACCGTGAGTATAGAAATACAGTTGCTTGTTCCAAAAAGGCATTTGTGGGAGTCCGAAGGGGAAGATGTCGATAGCCAGCGCGGACACAACTTACTGGAACCACTCGCTGTGCTATACACCTGTTTAAACAAACCCAGGTATGAAATTAGTTTAACAAAGCTGACTGGATTCTCACTGTATTATACTCCTTTTAAATCTTTTTTTTTGTCTTTCTGCCAACGATATCAACGATTTGTAACGCATTATGATATCTGTTAACAACTAGTTAGATCAGTCCAAGCCAGGTGTTTACAATGGCTAATGGCTCATTCTTCCTGTTGCTTGGAGTTTGCTTTGATGAGCAAGCATGCTACTGTCAACGCATCCTGAATGGATCTGCTAAAACTGCCAGATAAAGCATATAACCAACTCAGGCACAACAATGCAGTGAAGAGTGGCTAGGTGCAAGACAATCCTAGCAGCCCCAGGCGTGCAATAAGTCCAACAGTGCCGCACAAAATCCGGCTGCGCTTGGCAGCACGGAATACCGTCAGATCTAACATAGCAAAAGACATGCAGCTACGTACAAAATGCAAGGCAGAGCAAAAAGTTATTTGCAAATATAACCCAGGCTGGAACACACCAGGCGAGCCGATGCGA